CCAGGAAATCTAGACTGGAGCTAGATTGTGAAGGTGTTTAAAAACCTAACAGAGGAGGTTTTTTTTTCTTTTTTTCTCTTCTTTTCTTTTTTTAAATCCTGGAAGCTATAGAAAGCCAATGGAGCTTCTTAAACAAAGGAGTGACATGATTATGTTTTAGGAATGTCAATCTGGCATTTACATGGATTGGAAATGGCGAGAGACTTGAGGCAGGGAGATTAATTAAGAGGCTGTTGAAATAATCTAGAAGAGTTGGTGAGGGACTGCACTAGTGTAGTTGTAGAATGAGTGGAAAGAAAGGATTGATGTGAGAGAACAAGATGGGCAACTGATCAGATGTGGGATTGTGATTAAGAATGAAGAGTTAGGGCAGCTAGGTGGCACAGTGGATAAAACTCCAGCCTTAGAGTCAGGAGGACCTGAGTTCAAATCTAGCCTCAGACACTTGACACTTACTAGCTGTGTGACCTTGGGCAAGTCACTTAACCCTGATTGCCTCACTGCCCCCCCCCCAAAAAGAATGAAGAGTTGAGGATGATGATTGAATTTAGGAAGGTGGGTTACAGGAGGGGTGGTAGGACTCTTGCTAGAAATAGAAAAGTTAAGAAGAGAGGTGAGTTTGAGGGAAAATAGAATGAGTTTTGTTTGGATGTTCTGAATTTGAGATAACTATGGATATCCATCTGAGCAGATATGTCCAGCAGTTAATTGTAACACAGACTGGAGTGCTGGAGAGACATGAGGGCTGAATATGTGGATGTGGGAATCATTTGCATAGAAGTGATCATTGAACTTGTGGAAGCTGATGAGATCACTGAGAGAGCCCCAGAACTGTGCTCTTGTGGTATGCTGAGGCATAGGAGCAGGACAGAGATGATAATCCAGCTAAGAAGACTAAGAAATAGTGGTCATGTAAGGAAATCAGGAGAGATCAGTGTCATTAAAAGCCAAGGAACAGAGAGGATCTAAAAGGAGGGGTGACTTTCTGTGCCAAATGTTGAGGAGAGGTCAGAAGGACTTTTAAGACTAGGCCATTTGGGTTTAGTAATTAAGAGGTTGTTCATGACCTTGGAGAGTACAATTTCATTTGGATGGTGGAATCAGAAGCTGATCAGGAAGCAACAGATACAGACTTTTATGATCTTGTTGAAATTTATTTTTTAATATTTTATTTTTTCCAATTACATGTAAAGACATTTTTAGACATTCATTTTTCAAAAATTTTGAGTTCCAAATTTTCTACTACTTTCCCTCATCTCCCCTCCCAAGATAGTAAGCAATTTGATATAGGTTATATATGTGCAATCATGTAAAAATATTTCCATATTAGTCATGTTGTGAAAGAAGATACAGACCATAAGAAAAAAAAACCATGAAAAAATAAAGTGAAAATAGTATGCTTTGATTTGCATTCAGGCTATCAGTTCTTTCTTTGGATGATACAGACTTTTTTTTCCATCAGTAAAAGTGGCTATGAAAGAAAGGGAGGAGAGATATAAGATGATAGCTTGAGGGGACAGCAGGGACAAGTAAAAGGGTGTTGTTGTTGTTTTTTTAAGATAATGGAAGATCTAGACATGCTTATAGGCAGAAGGGAAAGAGCCAGCAGATAAACTGAAATTAAACAATATTTGCTAGGATTTACATAGAGCTTTAGGATTTAGTTCTATTTTTTTTTTTGGCTAGGCCATGGGGTTCACTGACTTGTCCAGGGTCACATAGCTAGTGAGTGTCAAGTGGCTGGGTCACATTTGAACTCAGTTCCTCCTGACTCCAGGGCCAGTGCTCTATCCACTGCACCACCTAGCTGTCCCTAGGATTGAGTTCTTTACACATATTATCTCATTTGATCTTCCCAGCATCCCTGTAAGGGAGTAGCTGCATTTATAGAGAGCTTTGAGGTTTGCAAAGTGCTTTATGAGATATGTTTATTTCATTTGATCCTCACAACAACCTGTGAGGTATGTGCTGTTATGATCTCCATTTTATAAATGAGGAAACTGGGGTACACAGGTGGTACTATCATTATCATCCCCATTTCCCAGATGAAGAAACTGAGGCTTGGAGAAGGAAAATTATTTGCCCATTGTCACATGTTGAGGCACTGTCAGAGGGAGAATATGAACTCAGGTCGTCTTGATTCTAAGCCCATAACTCTATCCACTATGCTACCTAGCTGCCTTAAAGATTAGAGGAATCTGTTTCTGATTAGAGGAGCAACCTTGGGGTCGGTTTATGGTTGGAAGGGCAAGCTTGGCAGGGGGAGTTGGATTAAGGGCATAAGTAGATGGGTTGGTCTTGGCAAGGACAAGGTGCACTTCTTCCTTAAGGACTTAGAACAGGTTTTCTTAACTTGGGATCCATGAACTTGTTTTTAAAGCATATTTTGATCATTGTATTTATTTCAATATAATTGTTTCCTTTGTAACACTATGTATTTTATTTCATGCATTTAAAATTATCATTCTGAGAAGGGATCATAAGCTTCTTCAGACTGCCAAAGGGACAAAAGAATTTAAGTCCCCCTTGTGCTAGAACAAAGGAGGAGTGGGGAATGATTATAGATTGAGAGAACCAGAGCTGAATGAAAATCTTGGACAGTATTTAAAGCAAAATGCCTTTAAAGTGGACAAAAAGGGATGCAATATTACTTTATCAAATAGCTGCAAGAAACCCTTGCCCAGGGCTTTAGGTATTGACCCACATTGAATCTTCCTTCCAGGGAGAGAGAACAGGGCTGGCCACCCTCTCAAAAGCAAAAACAGGTCAGGCTGATCTCCACAGTGGCATGGAGCCAAGGACTCAGACCGCCGTTGCTCCCTTCTGTCCCAGCAAAACTCGGACCACCTATCTTCCCTGTTCCCCACTGCAACGTCCTCTTCCAGTTCCTATCCATGTCACCTCAAGCAAGTCGATTTTCTTCTGGACCTCCATTTTCTTATCTAACATTGAGAGGGGGTTGGATAGCCCTCTGATTTTAGACTCCTATATTGCCGGAAGAGGTGTATGGCTTTAGAACCGCAGGTGCTCATCAGGCTAATTCCTTTTGAATGGCTAAGAACAGACCCCCTGAAGAGCCTCTGGCTGCTGGTGGGGGAACATTCAGTGGCCCTCGGGAGTCTGAGTTGCACTTGTTAATTATAATTCTCCGTGCTTCCTTGTTGCTTTTGGTTTAAGGGGTGAGGAAGTGAGGGTGTATCGCTGTAGTGCTACTGAATGTAGGAACAGAAACCTAGAGGGCTATGAGGAGGGAGGGAGGGAGAAAGGGAGGCTGAGGAGGAATGAGGGAGCAGCATTTTTTCTCTCCCTAAGTAACTACGGTTCTCTTGCTCCACATCCCTGATACCTCAGCAACCCTTCTCCTTGACAGTTAGCAGGAGTGTTACAGAGGGTCAGCTTGCAGGGCATCAGGGAAATGCTTCCTTGGGGAGAAGAAGGGGTGTTTCTCTTTCCCATCAGCCTCCCTCAGAAGGAGGGCATTCTTTCTTGCCAGTTCCCTCTACCTTTTAGAGTAGGATAAGCTGCTCTCAAACCCCCTTCACAGGCCTAAGTTAAAGCTCAGAGCTTCTCTGCTGTAATGCTCAGTCCTAATGACATGGAGTTAAAGGATTCCAAACAGTTTGCCCCTCACTGGGCCCTTAATTACATTAAAACACAAAAGCCGCACTGCCGGCTGGGTTCTCCTGGTGGATTGCAGAGACTGTCCTAGGGAACAATCGGGGCCCTGTTCTCATGGCCTGTTTTCCCCCAGCTGCGCCTCCCTTTCATCTCCATCTCTTTCCCAGGGACTCAGGGCTCATTCCCAGGAGGGTGGAATCTCAGTGTTCCAACCTTCCGACTTCTTGCCTGGTTTTGTTAGTTTTGTCCTTTCTTCTCCGCCCCCCCACCTCTTTCCCCCCCTCCTTTTTTCATTCATTCCTTTTCCTCTGTGGTACGAGGGGTCTCAGTACACTCTAGAGCAAGGCTTATTAACCTGGGGCCTGTCAACCTTTTTTTTTTTTTAATTTTGATAACTGTATCTCAATATAATTGTTGTCTTTTGTAATCCTATGCATTTTATATTTATGTATTTAACTACATTCTGAGAAGAGGTCTACAGACTTCACCCAATTAATACCAAAGAGGCCCATGGCATAAAAAAAGATAGAGAATGTTGATCTAGAACCCAAGGCTCAATTTCATTTCTTCTTTCCTAAATCAACTCTATTATTTATTTGTTCATTGTGGGCAAGGTTACGATCCAGAAACAAATTGTATGTTGAGAGGGTGAATAAAAATAATCTGTGCTAACCTGCTACTTTGTTTTTACTTCTAATTTGCATGTTATTCACTTATAATCAAAATGTCAGCCTCTCTTGACACCAGCCTTCCCCTCTCCCCAAATCTTACATCCTTTTCTCCTTGTGCCCCATCACAGCCCCTGCTGTGTCAGGTGGAGTTGGTTAAAGCCTGGAAGAATAATTGGCTATATTCTATCTAGATAAAGTGCTTGGTCAGTGACAAAATAGATTTCCTCCTTTCCTAGCATATCTCTCCTTTCCAAGTCAACAACCCTTTGTCCAGGGAGAAAGGATGATATGTCAAGAAAGGGCATTTCTCGAATTTGAACATTTTCTTGATGAAAATGTCATCTCACCCAGTAGGGGTGGCTGAAGCCTTTTCTAGGCAGTCATAAAGAACTCCTCACTTCCAATGAGAGCACACTTGAGCTCGTGTCCGTAAACAAGCAGGTGGCCTGTTCAGATTTTGAGGGGGGGGTCACCGGGTGGGCTTCTGTTTTTATTACATCCCCTTTATACTGTACCATCCACAGGAGGGTGCTGATCATTAAGCTAAAGGGGACTGAGGTGTCATTTTTTTCCCATCTTGATGCTAACATAAAAATACTTGAGTGCTTCTAGGTAGCTGACTCTGCCATTGTGCAGTCCTCCTTCTTACCTCCTTTTCCATCTCATTGCTTGGAATTCACTCCTTTTTCTTCTTTGCTTTGATTCCTTTAGGGTTCAGCTCAGGAATCACCTGCTCCAGGAAACCTTCACGGATTCTCTCTAGGTAAGAGTGCTCTCTTTTTGCTCAGATTTTCCAAAAGCATTTTGTCTTCTCACTTGCTTTGCCCTATCATATTCTACCTTCAACTGTAACACTTCCTTGTGGACAACGTATATCCTTCCCAGGAGCCTGTAAGCTCTGTGAGGGCAGGGATAGTGCATTTTTGGTCTTTGTATTCTCAGTGATTACCACAGTGCTTTGTACAGAGTAGGTGTTTAATAAATGAATTTCCAGAGAAGAACATTCTGGGACCTTTTGGGATAATGCATTACAAATGTCTCCCAACCCTTGTAATACAAGTCACAATAATGATAGCTGCTGTGTAGGATTTTAAGGTTTGTAAATCACTTTGCTTACATTATGTCATTTGATTCTCAGGTAGGTACTATTATTAATCCCCATTTTATGGGTGGAAAAATATGGAGAGAGTATGCCAAGGAGGAGCCTGATCAAGGTTAACAAGGTTAAAGGATGAGGCTTTGTTCTGACCTAGAAAATGTCTTCCTGTACAAGGTATAAACATAGGATCATCAGTTAAGAGCTGGAAGGGACCTTAGAGATCAGGTAGAGATCATTGTCATTTCATAGCTGAGGAAACTGAGTTCCAGAGAGGTTAAATCACTCCATAGGGTGGAAGCGGAAGAACTAAGATTTGAACCCTAGTCTTCTATGCCATCCTGCTGGCAATATCACTTTTAAAAAATTTAACTTAATTTAATTTTTTGGTTACGTTTCAAATTCTGAACTGTCTCCCTTCCTCTCTGTCCTGCATTAGAGAAGGCCACCATCTCTCTCTCTCTCTCTCTCTCTCTCTCTCTCTCTCTCTCTCTCTCTATCTCTCACATACACACACACACACACACACACACACACACACAACTCACACACAAATGTAAAACCATACTATGCATACTTTTATTTATGAGTTCTTTCTCTGGAGGTGGATAGCATCTCTTCCTTCATAGATTCTTTGTAGTTGATTTGAATATTTGTAATACTCAAAATGGCTTAGTTGTTCACAGTTATTCTTCAAACAATATTGCTGTTACTATATACAATGTTCTCTTGGTTTTGCTCATTTCACTGCATTATTTCATGCAAACCTTTCCATGTTTTTCTAAAATCAGCCAATCATTTTTGAGAAGATTGATTGCTGTGGCCAGTCGTACACTTGTGCTTGATTCCTGGACTTGGGTTTTCCAAAAGAGAACAGAAAAACTGATGAAAGAACTCAGGGCTATGGCAGGTAGAGAGAACCCAGCTCTCTGAAGGAAGTCTCCGTGGCCCTGTAGTCCCTCCAGGGAAACACAGGTATCCAGTAACCATGTAGCCCCAGGAGAGGAGAGAACCAGATGGCCCTAGAGACAGCAGGCAGCAGACAGAAGGAGCAGGAGAAGAGCATATCAGAGCTACTGGGCCAAGCTGGGAACCTTTAGGAATTTGAGCCAGGCAGCTGTGGAGTGGTGGTAGCAGAAACAGAGGGCAATGAAAAAGAGGAGGAACTTTCGGATCAGGACTCCTGCAGGGAAGAGAAGGAAGGAGTTCCTGGACCAAGCTGGAGCCAGAGACAAAGGGCAGTGAGGATCAGTGCCCTCATGCAGAAGAACTTGACTGGTGACAGATCCCATTAGCACATAAGGTCAGCACTAGGGCTCCTTTGCCTAGATTTTAACAAAGCTTTTGATGAAGTACCGTTCTTGTGGCGCAAGTGGAGAGGTATGAATTAGATGATAATGCAATCAGGTAAATGGGAACCATTCAGAAGGCTGGACTCAGAGAGAAGTTGTTAATGGTCTCTAGTGGAATACCCCAGGGATCTGTGCTTGACCCTGTATTGTTTAATATTTTTGTCAATGACTTAGATAAAGGAATAGATGATAAGCTCATCAAATCTGAAAATGACACAAAGCTGGAAGAGACAGCTAATGCAGTGGATGACAGTCAGGATCCAGAAGGATCTTAACAGGCCAGTTCATTGGATGAAATCCACTAAGACGAAATTCAATAGGGATAAATGTAAAGTCTTACACCGGTATAAAAAATCAATTTTACAAGTGTCAAATGATGAAGAATTCAACAGTTGTTCTGAGAAAGGTCTGGTGGGTTTTGTGTGTGTGTGTGTGTGTGTGTGTGTGTGACATGGCAGTGAATAAAAACTACTTCATATTGGGCTGCATTTAGAGGAGTGTTACTTCCAGGAATAGCCCCATTATACTCTGCCTTAGTCAGAATTCACCTGGAGTATTGTGTTCAGTTCTGAACTCCACATTTTAAGACGGTCATTACACAGCTGGAGAGTGTTCAGAGGAGGGCAACGAGGTTGGGGAAAGGCCTTGAGCCCATGTTATGAGAAGATCAGTTACAGGAACTTAGCATGTTAAGTCTGGCAAATAGGAGACTCAAGGGAAATATGAAAGCTGCTTTTAAGTGTTTGAAGGGCTATCACATAGAGCAGGGATTAGTTTTGTTCTTTTTGGCTCTCTGAGGGCCAAACTGGAGTAATGGGTAGAAAGTTGCAAAGATGCCAGTTTAGTCTTGATATTGGGGAAAAAAAAACCCCAGCAACTTAACAATTAGAAATATCCAAAAGTAGAATAACCTACCATGACAGGGAGTAGGTTCTCCCCACTTGGAGGTCTTCAAGAAGAAGCTGGACAACTTCTTTTTTGGTGTATTGTGTGTGTGTGTGTGTGTGTGTGTGTGTGTGTCTGTGTGTGTGTGTGTGTGTGTGTGTGTCTGCTGTGATTCCCTTCTAACTCCCACATTCTTTGATTCTGGTATAGATGAAAGATTTAAGTTTGGGCCTCAACCAGGGTAGAAAGTCTCTGCGAAGGTGGGCCTCCCTGGAGGAGGTTTCTTGATTCTAGCAGCCTTGAGTACTTTCTCCTATTGGGTGTGGGAACCTTAGCCAGTCTAGTACTATGTCTGGAGGTGACTATATAGGAACCGAGTAAGGAAGTAAGGAAGACTTGAGTTCAAATCCAGCCTCAGACACCTACTTGCTGTGTGACCCTGAGCAAGTCATTCAACCTCTGTCTTCATCAGTTTCCTCATAAGACCTACTCCCAGGATTGTTGTGAGGACCTGATGAGATGATATTCATAACATTTTTCATAGTGAGAAGAGAGGCCTAGTAAGAAGAGAGCTGGGCTCTGAGTCAAGAAGAACTAGGTTTCAAGCTGAGCCTTGGACATATACTGATTGTATGATCTGGACACATGCCTAGTACCTAGTAGGCACTTAATACTTGTTTCCTTCCTTGGAAGGTAGAAGCTTACTAGGGAGGGAAGAAGAATTGTCTTGACTGTTAATGGGCTCAGATATGAGTCCTTTCTCATAGAAAGTTTTTTGCCCAGTTAAATAATGGGCAGTTTTACTATTTTACTATCCTTTACTGTTCTATACCATTTACTATCCTTTACTTGGTGTATTGTTAGCCTGAGTGCTTGCATGGTAGCTGAAAGTTTTTTTACCTTTTCTGTAGAGACCTAGACATAAACTACATTCTGATAGTGGTCCCCCTCCCACCGCCATCTAAAATGTCTGCTTTATATAATCCCTAGCTCGCTTCAAAGCATAGCTTAAGTGTTAACTTCTACCTTGGGTCTTTCCTGATAAATTATTAGTGTTCTTTCCTTCTTGACACTTTTTTTTTGTTCAGTAGTTTCAGTCATGTTAGACTCTTCATGACCCCATTTGAGGTTTTCTTGGCAAAGATATCAGAGCGGTTTGCCGGTTTCTTTTCCAGCTCATTTTATAGACAAGGAAACTGAGGCAAATAGGGTGGTTAAATGACTTCCCCAGAGTCAAACAGCTAGTATATATCCAAGGTCAGATATGAACTCAGAAAGATAAGTCTTCCTGACTCCAGGACCAGCACTGTGGCCACTGTGCTACCTAGGGGCCCTTCATTCTTTCCTTCTTGAAATTACTTAATTTATAGTTAGTTATTACTTGTTTACATGTATTTACCCTCCCTCCCCTCAGAAGAGGGTACAAGAAGATCCTTGAGATCAAAGACTGCTTAGTTTTGGGGTTTGTATCCCCAGTGTCTTGCACATAGTAGGTTCTTTATGTATACTTTATTCAATTGAATGATCTCCCAGAGAAACCCTGTTTTGGAGCAAACCTAACCAAAATTCTGATGTTCCCACATTATACTTTGGGTGAGGAAATTAGCCAAAGAGTAATTCTTGAGAGGCTTTCAAGACTGAACTTTTATGTAAACTCAGAGCTGTCAATTTTATGCCACGGATTAAATTTAGAACTGGAAAAGTTTTACCTAAATCCAGCAATGTAGGCTCTGTTGAAATAGGACCTTCCTTTCCTGAACTTTATTCTTCCTCAGCTACTCATGGAAGGAAAGGGCTCAGGCAGGAGACCTAAAGCCAGTCAGGCAGGTGGTTCAGTGGTTAGAATGATGGAGTCAGGAAGACGAGTTCAAATCCAGCCTCAGACACTTACTAGCTATGTAACCTGGGGCAAGTCATTTGACCTCTGCCTGCCTTAGTTCCCTCATTTGTAAAATGGGGATAGCAATAGCACAGGCTCATTGTGAGGATCAGATGAGACAATATTTGCAAAGCTCTCTGTAAACCTTGACATGCTATGTAAATGGAAGCCATTCTTTCCTCATTGCTTCCCTGTGCCAGTCCATAGGGCAACAGAAAAAAAGGCTGCTGGGTGAGTGTCTGGGCTCTTTGGAGGATATTTACTTGCTAGGCAAATGATCAAGCTCAGCCCCTTAATTAATGTTCCTTTGGAGACAGCTGGTGCAGTTCCTTCCCTGTTAACCCCCCACCTTCCTTCCCCCTCATATGAACATGGCTTAGTGACTGACCTGCCTTTCTTGCTCTTTCCAGTGGTCCCAAGAGGTTCCCAGGGCCCCATATGGGGAAGCTGGTCTCTTTTATATTCTCCCCATCAGAAGGTGTGTGATATGGAACAAGGAATCTATGTGCTGTGGGCTCTCTTAGGGATGGAAGCCCCCTGCGTCCCAGCTG